CAGTGATTGAAATATAATAATATACTAGATGTGTTTCATTTATTTCATGTTATAGCTATAGGTAACCCATCTGATGAGCCTTGGTGGTTACCAGTTTAAAGTCGTATTCTTTCTTTTGAAAACAAATTGATAAAATAATCGTACATTCGTTTTCCAATCGTCTTCGTCTTAAAGGAGTCAAGTTTTTAACTCAATATCATCCACAGTCTTCGACATTGCAACCATGGGACTCATTGTTTAATTAAACCCAACATCAATCTTGTAACCGTGAAAAGATGGGCTTCTAATGTCCAATATTTAACACAAAGTTAAAGTTTTTAAATTGCCACACGACTGGTATTCAATTTGGACTCATCGCGTATGGGGGGTTGGGTGGCCGAATGGTTAGCACGCGCACGCTGTATCATACGGTCTGTTAGACATTACAGTAAAAACAGAAACGATTGAATGTAAATCAGTTAATATACATTCATATTACATTATTATATGCGTTGCAACCCATTTATGTCCATTTCTAGGTGTCAAGTAATGGAAAGTCAAAATTCGTGGGATTGCCAAACGCATAAACAGTATGTCTTTTTATTTTAACAGGTTGATGTCTAATTCCCTAATGGCCCAATTTAATTTAAAGGGAAATAAAGGGAGGCGGTCCTTAATGGACTTAGAAATTTACAAAGTTGTCCGAGGTTTGTTTTTATCATACTCAATTTACGAACATATCCTTAAATATCGGATAATCAAACATGGTATGGGCATACACGAGTTTTTATTACTTCATCGATGAGTGTTGATCTTTTTATACGCCCAAAGTTAATATCCGATTGACTTTAAATTTATACACAGTGTTTAAGGTCATGAGACGAAGAAGCCTATTGATTTTCGGCGATTTCCGATAATTACTGCCAGAGTTATGGCCCTTGATCACTTCAAAAAATCTTGTGAACGCTCTCGAGGCCAAAGTTAATATCCGATTGACTTTAAATTTATACACAGTGTTTAAGATCATGAGACGAAGAAGTCTATTGATTTTCAGCGATTTCCGATAATTACTGCCAGAGTTATGGCCCTTGATCACTTCAAAAAATCTTGTGGACGCTCTAGAGGCCAAAGTTAATATCCGATTGACTTTAAATTTATACACAGTGTTTAAGGTCATGAGACGAAGAAGCCTATTGATTTTCAGCGATTTCCAATAATTACTGCCAGAGTTATGGCCCTAGATCACTTAAAAAAATCTTGTGGGGCTCTAGAGGCCAAAGTTAATATCCGATTGACTTTAAATCTATACACAGTGTTTAAAGTCATGAGTAGAAGAATCCTATTGATTTTCAGCGATTTCCGATAATTACTGCCAGAGTTATGGCCCATGATCACTTCAAAAAATCTTGTGGACGCTCTAGAGGCCAAAGTTAATATCCGATTGACTTTAAATTTATACACAGTGTTTAAGGTCATGAGCCGAAGAATCCTATTGATTTTCAGCGATTTCCGATAATTACTGCCAGAGTTATGGCCCTTGATCACTTCAAAAAATCTTGTGGACGCTCTAGAGGCCAAACTTAATATCCGATTGACTTTAAATTTATACACAGTGTTTAAGGTCATGAGACGAAGAAGCCTATTGATTTTCGGCGATTTCCGATAATTACTGCCAGAGTTATGGCCCTTGATCACTTCAAAAAATCTTGTGGACGCTCTAGAGGCCAAACTTAATATCCGATTGACTTTAAATTTATACACAGTGTTTAAGGTCATGAGACGAAGAAGCCTATTGATTTTCGGCGATTTCCGATAATTACTGCCAGAGTTATGGCCCTTGATCACTTCAAAAAATCTTCTGAACGCTCTCGAGGCCAAAGTTAATATCCGATTGACTTTAAATTTATACACAGTGTTTAAGATCATGAGACGAAGAAGTCTATTGATTTTCAGCGATTTCCGATAATTAATGCCAGAGTTATGGCCCTTGATCATTTTGAAAAATCTTGTGGACGCTCTAGAGTGTTTAAGGTCATGCGACGAAGAAGTCTATTCATTTTCAGTGATTTTCGATAATTTCTGCCAGAGTTATGGCCCTTGATCACTTCAAAAAACCTTGTGAATGCGCTAAAGGTTAAAGTTAATATCTGATTGACTTTAAATTTATACACAGGGTTTGAGGTCACGAGGCGAATAATCCTATTGATTTTCAAAGATTTCTGATAATTACTGCCAAAGTTATGGCCCTTGATCACTTTGAAAAATCTTGTGGACGCTCTAGAGACCAAAGTTAATATCCGATTGACTTCAGATTGATACACAGAGTTTAAAATCTTGAGACGAACAAGTATATTGATTTTCAATGAATTTTTATGACTTGGAACAGCTAAATCCATGATACAGTATTAAAAGTTTTGTATACAAAACGTTAGCATGGGGCAGAACTTTATAAAAACCAAACAAATCCTAATGGTTTTCTGAGTTGTTGCTCTTAATCAGATTTTAGTGTATTATAAATGTTTCATTACCGAAAAAAGTAAAAATATGCGACAACTCTTGTTGACTGCCCGGACGATTTAGCTGCTGTGGGCGTATGTTTCGTTGCCTGACAACCTATCTTTTTTGTAATTTAACACCCATGCCTTTCTTACACGTACAAATTTATGGAGAATATGAAAGTAATAACACAAGCGATGTCTCATATAGAATGTGTTATTGGGTCATATATAATATAATTCATATGGGGTTTAACGTCCTACTGTTCTTCCGACTAGGCTAATGAAGATGGGCATGCGCCATACCGCGTGCTATGAAGGAAATTTTGCCCGGGCAGCGGCACTATGGCCTACTCTTATATCGAATTCCAACTGCCAAGAGATCTTTTACTTGCACGTCAATGTGTACACGAGGCCTCGGTTTTTCATACCATCCAAACGACTAACAGTTGTCCTTGTCAGGCCTACTGAACTTTCTCGGCAAATGTAGGGATCGAAAATGCGACCTCCAGAAAAGCGAGCCAGCGTTTTACCCAATGAGTCACCTTTGGTCCATAATTCATGGGATGCAGAATTATCTGTTACAGCTTTAGGACCACCTTTTTGATCGGACTGAATTATATAATTTACAAAATTTGACAGAGTAAATATACAGTTTTTTGTATCCTTCAGATAGTGTAATGATCAGTCAGCCGAGCTGCAATGAAGCCGAGATAATAACAGCAGTGTCGGATCATCTAAAATATGAGCCGGACAGAAGAGGGACCAATTAAGTACATGTACAGTTTTAATTTGTTTATTACATGTCATATTTTATTATAATCTTTATAAGCCATTTTAAGTTCTTTTATCATCCATTTAATTTTATTTTATTTTCTATGTGTGATGTCCACAAAATGTTAACTGCGCCATTGAGCATTGGGTGTTTTATATTGGTAATAGGCGCATTATAAATAATAAATTATTATTATTATTACAGTACCAATTGCATTAAAATTACTTTCTCATTTTTAGCAATATCATTCATTACCCATTACATTGAAAGTAAATAATTACATTTTATTACTATTTAAAGATTAATGCTAATTTAGCATTTAATCAATCAGATTTAAAAACATGTCTTTAAATCTGATTGATTAAATGCTAAATTAGCACTAATCTTTAAATAGTAATAAAATGTAATAACATTAAATATGTTTCCTTGTTATATGCTTTTAAAACTCTAGTTATCACTGAATGTATAAGAGTATGGTTGTAATATATGTCTGTAAATCCTCTGTTTGATCTTTTATGCATGTATATTTAGTTAATCATAGTATAGATCTATGCCTTATTTTCTTTTAAACTGGTTTCAATTATATAGTATAATGTGTATGGTTAATCCTAGTATATACGATTATTCACCGTTGTTTCATCAAAAGCTTGTGATAGCTACTCATGTTCACCTTCCTTACATACCATTGGATAGTTCGCACTGATGTTTATATATATATATATATTCATATCTTTCTCATTTTATTTATTTGTGTATATGCTTGATAACGACATGGGAAATCTTGTTGAAACGTTGCAGTGAAATAAACCATAGTAATTGTTATTCCATAAAATTGTGTTATTTGATTATGTTCTAATTACTAAATGCCATTCAAAGAATGCGCCATTAAATGTAATTGAAATGTAATTGACCATTACATGATTTTCGGAATGTAATTAATTACATTTCCATTACTTGTAAAATCTTCCATTACTCATTACATGACCATTACTTAAAAGTTAATGATCAGATTCTATTACCTTTACCCATTACTGCAAAGTTATATGACTCTAGCATTAATATTGACTGTAATATAATCGTTTGAATTGAATGTTTTGAAACTACGTACTGTCCTATTAGATTGGTTGTGATGGGACACAATAACTTTGATTCTAATTGAGTGAGAGTGTTGAAACTTCGCGTATCGTTTCACTATGTCAAAACCGTGGCCCAAATCTGTCGGACATTTAAGCACCCCCCCCCCTTCCCCGCACACACACCTAATTTAACTTCCATCGTGCCCGGCCGCCTATTCCCGTCTTCGTTAGTCCAGTGGGGGCAGAACTGTAGGGAGTTCGGATGGGGCTTATACTGGGTTTTATACAACCTTAAAACAACAAATTCTGACGTCGTGACAACTTTTCGCCAACCACCACACAACGTTGAAAAACAACAAATTCTGACGTCGTGACAACTTTTCGTCAACCACCACACAACTTTGTGACAATGTTGCTTGAACGTCCGTACAGCGTTGTCACAACTTTTCGTCAACCACAACACAACGTTGTGACAATGTTGCTTTGACGTCCGTACAACGTTGTCACAACTTTTCGTCAACCACCACACAACGTTGTGACAATGTTGCTTTGACGTCCGTACAACGTTGTCACAACTTTTCGTCAACCACCACACAACGTTGTGACAATGTTGCTTTGACGTCCGTACAACGTTGTGTGCCCGCTGGGTTCATTAGTGTTACGCGTGCTATTTAACTCGCTATCAAGGTCACATTGTACTCGGCTTAAACCAGCTTGACAGCAGATAGGTCACAGATAGCCGCATTGTATTGCATGAAGTGTCGTGACGTAGATAGCTGGTTAATCTTTCTGGAAATTACAACTGTTCAAGGTGAAGTATTGCTATTCTTTGTAGTGTTAGATTTCAGCACCAGACAAGCTACAGCTAAGTGCGTCAAAATCCATAGGGATCCAGACAAAATGTAGCTTTTTATATGTAATGTAGTTTATAATGGCTGTGTTTTTTAAAGTACGTGCATCATAAACTGTGGGGCAAACATCCACCTGTTCTTAAAAAGCTTAGAGAAGAAGTGGAGTAATGCCGATAATGGGAGGGAAAGTATCGGTAGCGAATCCAGAAGCTGTGAATATTGGAGCGGGGTCAAAATCTAGGGCGCCATCCATAATCCCACCCAACGATGAATGTCAACAAAATACTGGCTATATTAACACTGAGTCGGTTGTACGTGCCAAGGTGTAGGATCGCATGTCCAACCTCATGTGTTTTCTCCGGGTCCTCCGGTTTCCTCCCACTGCTAAAGACCTCTACGCGCAAACGAATTATTGAAATAACCGTGTGTTAGTCCCGAAAGCCCTAGTTAGTGTCGAGTGGATGTTAAATCCTCTCTCTCTCCGAAATGACCTAGTTTGGATGGTGTAAATCTCTCTCTCTCTCTCTCTCTCTCTCTCTTTTGGTATTGGGGCTGAAAATTTTAGTCATTTTCCTAGCATTTGAGTTCATAAGTGGGGGCAAATTCTTTTGAACGAGGATATGTAATGTGTAACTGGGCTTTTAATTTGTTGGGACTGGGTCTGATGGGTACTTTGTCTGACGGGGGCGCTTACTTGGGCTCATGGAGGGGGGGGGGAGCTTTCAAATCCCAAACACGAGAGATTGGAAGTCAAAATAGTTTCTTGCTGCCGGGGGTAGACAGCCTCCTAGGACAGCCTCCCACTCACCCTTTCTTAGCGCTTCTCAAGATTTCTTCAAATTGCCCTGAAATGCTCGGAAAATGACTAAAATTATCAGACCAAATCCCAAAAAAGAGAGAGAGAGAGTCATTTCGGGACTAACATATGGTTTAATTTTATTTCAATAATTCGATTGCGCGTAGTGGTCTTTAGCAGTGGGAGGAAACCGGAGGACCCGGAGAAAACCCACGAGGTTGGACAAGCGACCCTACTCTTTGTCACGTATAACTGGGGATTCGAAACCACGCCAGTTGACTCAATGACAGGCAACCCAACCCCCCTCTTTTTCCAAGCCCAGTGTAGTATTTGTATAGTAATTGTTGTGCATGATATAACACAGTATATCAATATCAAGTGGTCGGGGTTGTTTATATTAGATATGCACCATATAGAATGATATCGGTGATTACAATGGTTGTGAATAGACATGAGACGTTTATGTCGACAGGTATGTTTACTCTCTTACCTTTCTATTTGCAGTACCTGATGCAATCTGTTGAGTTGATGTGTATATACCCGTCTTCATTAGCCCACTCGGTGCAGAACATTAGGGCGTTAAACATACAGCTCACAAAAACTGATAGATGTTCATATATAATTAATGTTGTGATTGTTGATGATCTACATTTATAAACATGATTAACATGTGGGATATTGTATCAGTATTTAATGATGTTACAACAATTTTAGTGGCGCTTGTTGTCTTATTAGTGATTGGATATGTCATCTTAATGCAGGAACGATCTGGAATACCTCCTGGACCACCATTTTGGCCAGTTGTGGGAAATATGTTGGATATGCGAGACAAATTCGCTGGCAAGAGACATAAATATTATGCAGAACTTCAAGCAAAATATGGAGATATTTTTCGAATATATTTCGGCGACCAGTTGTTGATAGTTTTAAACGATTTCGAATCTATAGAAGAGGCTTTTGTTAAGCAGAAGGATCTCTTCAGTACTAGACCAGTAAAGAAGTTATGGGTTGTGAAGCAGGTCAGCAAAATAGGAGATGGGGTCATCTGGGCGAGTGGACAGGGATGGAAAGATGCGAGAAGAATGGCAATTCGTAGTCTTCGTGATCTAGGAGTCGGCAAATCGACCCTCGAGGAAAGGATCAAGGAAGAAATTCACATCGTTTTGGACAGTTTCACTAAATCTGAAGGAAAACCAATCAAAGTCCATGAAATCATGATGAAAGCAACAACCAATATCATCAGTACAGTTGTTTTTGGTAAACGATATGATTACGGCGACCCCGAATTTATTCAGATCATTAAGATTTTAAAAGATGCATTTACTGATATGGCGTTGTTTACACCCGTTCAACGTTTTCCTATGCTTCGTTTCATTCCTTTCATAGCTTCTAAAATGTTGGCGGCGGGTAATGCCATTCTGGAAGTAGAACAGTTCATTGCCAATCGTATTGAGAAACGTAAAAAGGTTTTCGACAAAAATGATATTAAGGATTTTATCGATGTGTACCTAGATACGTGTGTCAACAACGAGTCCAGTGCCATCACAGATGGCAACATAAGAAGAGTCATTTTGGATTTGTATTTTGCTGGTTCTGACACTACATCCACCACTCTCGATTGGGCAGTGCTGTTTATGGTCCTTCATCCGGAAGTCCAGAAGAAATGCCAAGAGGAAATCGATAGTGTGGTCGGTGATGGTCGTATGGTAAACTGGTCTGATAAATCTAAAATGTCGTATAACGAAGCGACACTTCTCGAAGTTCAACGTTTAGGAAACGCGGTACCTATGTCACTACCTCACACCACGGACAAAGATACAATAGTTAAAGGATATCTTATCCCAGAAGGTTCTTTGGTTTTTGCAAATCTGTACGCCTGTCATCTTGATTCAAGATATTGGAAAGAACCCTTGAAATTTAAACCAGAACGGTTCTTGGATGATTCAGGAAAAGTATCCAAACAACCTATGGCATTTATACCGTTTTCCATAGGCCCACGGATTTGTGCAGGTGAACCACTGGCTAGAATGGAACTATTTCTATTCTTCACCAATATCTTACAGAGGTTTTCTGTTTCGACTCCCGGCAGTCAGAAACCCAGTACAGATGGGGTCTGTGGAGTGAGCATGTCGACACCAGAATATACTATCCAGGCCACACCTAGATAAATTTTATGTCAATTCAACAAAAATAATTGGTTGGCTTAGTTTTTTTTTTCTTTTTTTATACGCCCACATGTTCATGTAGTCATATGGTGTGTTTTGTTTTGCCCCTGCCCCTGTTTGCATACATGCACACGTATGTTTGAAGTTGTTCGCCTAATTTCAGACGTAGTTGGTCCTGCAATCTAGATGGTCAACTTTGATTTAATGTTAACTGTTTTTGATCATATAATCGGGAATAGGTAGTTTTAGGTTAAGATGGTATAAATCAATTATTAGGGTTATTGAGAGCTTGATTAAAGGGGTGCAAAGGTTGGAACAAGTTACGGGACCTTTGTGTATACTTTTGTGTATGAAATAAATATATTATTTAGTACCCGGTCCGAATTCCTTGTCTTCACAATGTCCGAGTCACGTTCAAGTCACCAGTTTTTGAAATTGCGAAAAAGGATTAGGACTATTAATTATTTTCCCTTATTTCATGATGAACGAATAGACAATGTTTCTCTTAATTTTGTTTCTCCCCTCTTCCTACATTTTTCAGGTTGACTTTTTCGTATAGAACTGTAGAAAAGGGGCCAAATTTGAAATTTCATAGCAGTTTTGGGTAATACTTATGATATTACAGCGGAGGGTTAGGTGGTGTAAAGTGTCTTTCTGCAGAGCAATCATTGTGTCGGAAATTAATTTTCACCCCAGTCAACAGCAAATCCCCGTAGCAAAAAAATCTAAAAGGTCAACCCCCTACAAAATTATGATGAGGAGATTGCCAAATGCGGTCCCCTATGTGCCTATAAATATTGGAACCAACGGAATGTTGAGCAAAAAGCTACAGCCTGTGACGTTACAGCCATTTAACATTGAAACAATGGACAATAATTGCTAGTCTGAGACCTTAACGTGAGTTAGAGTTATGCATCCCCACTCCCCATTCTCGCCACGATTTTTTACGAATTCGTCGATTTGACTTTGCGTTGCAAATGGTGTAAACTCGCATTAATATACAAATGTATATTCTCCATTTTAGAGTCCAATTATTCTTAATTCATTCCCCCATTTACTAGTCAACACTTTCGTCAGTAGTAGGGCCTAGCAATGTTTTGAACTCGCGTTAAGCCGAGCTCAAGTACGTGCTACTACGGGCAGTCAGTCTACGGGGAAAATATTAGTAAGCCCGTGCTTGAGAACTACGAGTTACTTGCGTTTGTTCGGCACCGTAGAAGATCGTAGACTGGCCGCAGAGACTTCTTGGTCTGCACATACAAATTGTTGCGCTGTTTCTTGCGGCTGTTCTGCGAGCTACTAAAGCCTACGATCCATGCATGTAGGGTTGTGAGTTAGACTTTATTATACCTCATGTTTGCTGAGTAATATTCGTGTACTTAAAATGGGGTCTTCTCATATCGCCGACTCACCGAGTTTTGGAAAGTCGACCGCGGCACCCTTTGATTGGATTAAAACGGATTAAAAGCGTTAATGAGGCAGGGACCAGTCATTATTAATATAGTTCACTGAAATTGATTTTTACCACAGACCTTTATTGACTTTTTTGCCGAAACCATTATTAAAATTCGTGAAAAGTTTGTTGACCCCCCCCCCCCCCTTACGCTGACATTAATGTCCCACCCCAGTGTAATTTCTCTGCTTTTGAGCCATTGAATGTTGATGACGTAATATCAGTGGTGTGTCGAATGAAGTGTAAGTCATGTGCTCTGGACCCAATTCCTACAAAACTACTAAAAGAGTGTCTGGATGAAATAGCACCAGCTTCGACGATTCTTATAAATGATGTGCTCTCCTCTGGTATTTTTCCGGATGATTGTAAGGAGGCCATTGTAAGACCTCTGATTAAAAAAACAAATCTTGACCGTAATGCACTCAAAAGTTATAGACCAGTGTCAAATATTTCATTTTCAGCAAACTTGCTTGAAAAGATCATTTTATCTCAAATAATAGATTATCTCATTCGAAACTCACTGCTCGGTAAATTCCAGTCTGCTTATCGAGAGGGGCATAGCACTGAAACCGCACTCCTTAGAGTGCATAACCATGTTATAGATATGAACAAGGAAGACTGAATTTATTAGAATTTTTGGACTATGTTGGACTGCGTTTAAAAATTTAAAATTGTGTTATGTTATGTATTATAAATTAAAAAAAAAATAAATGCTCCCAAAACTATCTGTTTAATGAGGTTTATCCTTCAGCTTGGGTCTATTGTTCTTGGCCACTCATTCCCATAACGTCGACCAAAATGTTTCCCCTAAAACTCGGTGAGTCGGCGATATGGGAATGAACCCTTAAAATACAGGTGTGACGTCATCCTTTGCAATATTGGACGCGCGTGACATATTTCATTGAAATGCACGTGCTGGATATCGCACTCGTACAATATCAATATATTACTTACTGTCTCGCACTCGACCATTAAACTACACTTATTTACTGTTTCCCGCGCAAAATTTCCCCGAACAATATCGGTGTGAATAGTGTTTACTTTATGTTTAATAAAAGTATGCGTGCCTCGGTATATATGTGTGTTTTACAGGTCGAGTATCGTATTACGCAATGACATACCCGTGTAGAGATACACTATGAAGCACATGATATCTATTAAGCAACGTCCTACATGCACTATTCCCATGAAATCATCACGAGAGACCAATATTTCAGCCATATGGTATAAATAATGCACAATGGCAATTGTGACGGTTCCCTTATTTGGGTGTTGCTTAAACTCGGAACGGAATGCGAAACGGAATGGGATTATTGAGAAATGGTTTGGCTTGTGTATCATATTGTTTCGTCATCAAATAAACAGATAATTTCCCAGACCTCAATGTCATTACGATTGCATACATTAAATATCACAGTGTTATTTAGTATATCAGTCACTTTGTAGTTTTACTGTAAACTCCTTATTTTAAACACACAAGACAAGCTTGTAATTTGAAACACTTTAAAGGTACAGGCCCATGGTAAATGGTTTCTGGTTTGAGCTTTTTCAAATTCACATGGAGTGTTGATTGGGTTGAAGGAAATGAGTAAGAAAAGGGGGGGGGTTATGATCTGAAAACTTTGAAATTCAATAGGGTTCTTCTATATTCACAAATTAACACAACATTGTAATTTGAAAAAAAAACTTGAAGTCATCCTTACCACCAAATATCTCCGTGAATTTAACAAAACCAACAACAGTTGCATGGATCAGCACACCAACAGATATCACATGTTATGTAAAGATCGGTTGCCAAGCAACGACACATATACCCACAGTAGCTAAATCGTTGTTGTCATATTTACTCCTTTTTAGGTAATTGGGGGCATTTACAATACAAATTCATGACATACGCCATACAGTGTGCTGTAAGGGACATTTTGCCTAGACAGTGGCACTACGGCCTACTCTTATATCGAATTCCAACTGCTAAGGGATCTTTTCCGTACACGCCAATGTGTACACGGAACCTCGGATTTTCGTCCTATCGGAACGACTAGAGAGTTATCCTTGTCAGGCAATTGCATATTGATCAGATTATCATTTTATTCAATTAAGGGTTCTAAAGGCCCCACAGACTGAAATTGTTGAAATTCGATAGGCTTCCTCGTTTCATTAATCTAAATGATGCATATCAATTTCATACAGATCAGGTGATAACTTTTGTTATGTGAGAGTTCACAAGGTTCAACTAAGTGAAAACCGGAAATGGCTTAAACATAATAGGCTTCCTTGTTCTACCAATTTAAATGAGGCATATGAATTTCATACGTATCGGAGATGATAACTTTTCGTCATTCGAGCGTAGGAAAACACTGGCCATAGGCTTTTCGTTTCACTAATCTTAATCATGCATATAAATTTCATACAGATCGGATAACTTTCGTCAAACGCGCGTAAACAAGATTGAACAAAGTTAAACAAGGGCGATAACTCTAGAACTAGTTATTAGAAATTGTTGAAATGCACACGCCTTCTCCATTTCATTAATTTACATGATGCATATAAATTCCATATAGATCGGATTATAACTTTTGTCGTGGCGCTTTCACAAGCTGGAGGTTGCGGGTTCCATCAGGGGTTGGCCGAGAAAGTTCATCGGGTATTTCCGGCGTGGTGTCCCCTTGTCAGTGGTGCTGGACGGAGGGCCTGACAAGAACAACTGTCTAGTCGTTCGGATCTGTGTACACATTGGCGTGCACGTAAAAGATCCCTTGGCAGTTGGAATTCGATGTAAGAGTAGGTCTGTCTGGGCAAAATTTCCCTCACAGCACAATGTATGATGTAAGTCCCTCTTCATTATCCGAGTCGAAGCAGAACAGTAAGATGTTCAATCCCATTTCATTTTGTATGCAAATTAAAACTGATAGATACAAGAAATGCCCGTCTTCTTTCGGATCAGGACAGTGGGACAATTAACACCATTTCCTTTCATTTTATTTCGTATGCAAATTAAAACTGATGAATGCAAAAATGATGATAAGTGGAGCCATGGAATGGGGGGGGGGGGCTTTTTTTTTTACCTCGAACCGTTCCCTACATCCTCATCAATTACAAATGTTCAAATTGAGCATTCAGACGCCATGGTATGACGTCATGATGTGCAGCTCTAACCCACACAGTAGATAAATGGTATTTTCAGTAAAATATTGACGAGAGGGGCATGGGGTGACAATATTATAGATTATATACAGGTTCGTCCATCCACAATAGAAGAATACAAATACGATCCACAATTATTTAAATAAAAACTAATACCGATGCTAATTCTAATTGTGATAATAATTTATAAGAATAACATTACTTTAACAAAAAATTAATTGCACATATTTATAATGACACGGAAATCCATATCAATAAAATACAAATCAATAAAATACATAGCCATAAAATACATAGCGATAAAATACATATCAATAAGATACATAGCCAACAGAATACAAAGTACAAATAAAACGTAAATAACGGTATAGCTATCAGATATAGTACACACTGTATCTCAGGGGGGGGGGACAAAACTTTTTGCAGGGGGATAGGGTGGGGGGGGCAAACTGTATCTCAATTAAACTCTGTAGAGAAAGAATATGTAACTTATACCCTTTATCATCAATCATATCAATCAGACCCTACACCTATGGTGGCTGATTGGTAACATGTCGTAATATCGTAATGTCGTGGTGTCGCCCTTAACCCGACATCGCGACATTTTATCCCGACTCCACGACAGCCTGACATCATGACATTTTAACCAATTTCATTTCATTCAATTTTCCTACTTTTCTGCGCCAATCGGACTATTGCAGATAGGCATTCTATGGACAGGGACATTTCTTCATTGTATCCAAACTGTGAAGGGTTCTTCTATGTGCACGCCAATG